TAGTCTATAAAATTATACCGTAACGAGAAAAAAAATAAATTTGATTTTTGACGATTTTTGAAATTTTGAAAAATTTGGAGTGACCTCTTAAAAATTTTTTTTGAGCTGTCCTTTGGTGAGGGCTCTTAAAATATCAAAAACTAACATTTTTTCACTCGACTCAAAAAAAAAAATAGTCGGTTTTTTTGCGCGGTGCTGCTAGGGCCACCATCCACGGACAGGTCCGTGGCTGTAATTAGAGACCCGGACAGCTTTAAAAAAATACTCAAAATGATATGTCTGTCCGGGACTCTAAGATTAAAGTCAGAAAGTGGCTTTTTTGAAGATTTAAATTTCTAATTATGAATTTTAGCTGAATTAATTAAAAAAATTTAAAACTTTATTTTAAATATTATATTTATAATTTGTATTTATTGCATGTATATGTACATTGAACGCATGCGAACGGATATCACGCTTACAGACAGAATCTCGTAGAATACTCCACAGATGACAGTACTGCGAGTTTCTTTTTAGTGAAAACTACCCAAATTTTATCGTTATTATATATTATTTTTATTATTTGGAGGGATAATTTCAAATGATGAATAATTATAAATTTGATTAATATGTAACTTTCAATTATAATATCTTGAGAATATAGAGTTTAATCCGGATCTGTTATCCACGGACTAACGGAGCTACTAGGTGCACAGTACTCTGCTAGTCCGGATCTTCTAGCCACGGACGTCCAGGTCTGTTGTCCACGGACATCCGTGGCTAACAGACCCGGACTAGCAGAGCTACTAAGCGTACAGTACTCTTGAGTCCGGGTCTTCTAGCCACGGACGTCCGGGTCTGTTGTCCACGGACATCCGTGACTAACAGACCCGGACTAGCAGAGCTACTAAGCGTACAGTAGTCTTGAGTCCGGGTCTTCTAGCCACGGACGTCCGGGTCTGTTGTCCACGGACATCCGTGGCTAACACACCCGGACTAGCAGAGCTATTAAGCGTACTGTACTTTTGAGTCCGGATCTCCTAGCTACAGACTTCCAGGACTACAAAAATTAAAAATCTGAAAAATTAATAACTAAATTAAAAGATACGTCCTGTATTGCAATAACTTCTTTGTTCATTGTGATAAGTTTGATACCTCAGAATTTATTAAAACTGAAATTTTATTAGTTACAATAATTCCGCTTACATTAATAAAATTTAATCATACTTAATACATTTAATAACGGCTGTATATTAGATTAAAAAATTTATGTTTTCTCAATAACAGTTCTTCTTATCAGATAAATATTTTTATGGTATTGATAGAAAGTTTCAGTGAAAAAAAAAAAACAATGAATTAAATTTAAGGTAATTGTGTCGCGCAAAAAAAAAATTAAGAAATCTTTGAAACTTGAAATATAAGGAATTGAACGCAGTAATTAAAACTTGAAATTTGCGATCAATTTGCCTTTTCAAACGAGAAATAGGTAGCTAAAAATGATACTTTTACATAGGTGGTAAAAGAAAAACAATAACTATCTTGGTTTAAAATAATTTTTGACTGAAAAAATTTTTTCATCTTAAAATTATTATTTATTTATTTTGAAAACAATTTGAATCATCCCGAAAATTTCTTTAATTTAATTAATTTGCATTATTTTCAGTAAATAGTTATGACTCAATAATTTTATATCACGATTTAAAAAGGCTAACAATATCACTATGATGTCATTATGATTTTATGCAGATATGACCATAACTATATTATGAATTTATGTTAATATCATAATGATTTTATTATAAAATTACTAGAAATTTTCTTTCTCCATTGAGAAAAATAAAAATTTTATAATCTAGTTAAAAAAAAAATTTATTCCCATAAATATTTGACTTATTACGGGTATCAAATGTATATTGATATGGCTTTTATGTGAATCTCATATTTGTGTCAAAATATGAGATTCATAATGAACCTCATCATGATATCAGATGGTTTTTACACGGGTACCCTAAAAAAATTTAGAAATTCCTTACCTCATAATTTTTTACAAATTTTTCATAAACTAAGGGAAGCGAATTAGCGAAATTTCTTAAGAAAAATTGCACTAGCAATAGTGACAAAGAAACCAATAATATAAATTTTCCTTGGAAAAGAACAATAGTTGAACCGAAAAATTCTTGAACGATCATTATTTTGAAGATTTTAATTATTTTAATTATCTTGGATCAACAAAGAAAAATTCTTGAATCAATTTACATTTACTTGAACCAAGATCAATTTCGTAATTCGATAGCTTTTTTTCTTTAATTCAAAGTTATTGAACTCTTTAAATCTAGATAAATGTTTTATTAGCGTTTTCTCATCGATTGAAGGGGGAAATATTCGGCATTTGAAATTACTTATGTTAAATTTTAATTACTTTTTTTCATATCTACACTCCGATTTTGTCAATTCTAATGCAAGATATTGTTGAATCATTCATGCTCAAGAATTGACCAAGAACTTGTATAGATAATTTGTCAAGATCTTTGGACAAGTTTTGAAGAATGTTACAGTAAAAATGGCGAGAAATCTAGTGTTTCTTAATGCCACGTTTTGATATTTTCTGTCAGAGATTTGACAATCGGATTTGATTTAATATAAGGGATGACAAGGATGACACGCAAAATCGTGAAGCGTTCCACATTTTTTAACAAATATAAATAATGCTGTGAAGCGGGAAAGAATAGGAGTTACGGATAATTATTACGTGAAGCGTTCCAACATTCACGTAACAGGATAATTGGTAGGAAAGGATTGAGAAAGGATTATGGAGAGGAACTTCTTAATGTGAGTGTATAGAATATGTGAGAAAAAAAAATGTGAGAATATATATATGAGTCATTCCATATGAAATCGTCTGAAAAAAAAAAAATTGTTGCCGTCTCATTTTAGATTTTGGTGTAACTTTGAGAAACTCTCTAGAAAAAGTGGACAATTTCTAAAATACAGTCAGAATTTGAATGTAGTGAATATCTTGTAAAAAAAGCTAAAACACTGAGGGCACAATATGGAGTATTAGCGAAGGCTCCAAAAAAAGAAAGTGGACGTCAGTTGAAAACAGAAATTGTTGAAGCTGTTATAAAATTTTTCGAAGATGATGATATTAGTAGATTGATGCCAGGTCAAAGAGATTGTGTAACTGTACGCGATAAAAATAACGGAAAGTCTAAAGAACAAAAACGTTTAATCTTATTTAATTTGAAAGAAGCCTATGAAAAATTCAAGCAAATTCATCCAAACTTAGCCATAGGATTCTCGTCGTTTGCTTCACTTCGACCGAAGAACTGTGTTTTGGCTGGGGCAAGTGGTACACATTCAGTATGTGTTTGTTTGATCCATCAAAATATGAAGTTAATGTTAATGGCGTGTAAAACTAAACTTCCCTATAAAGAATTACTGAAAAAGATAGTTTGTAATGATAGCAGTGAACAATGTATGTTATATAGCTGTAAAGAATGTCCAGGCACTGATGTTATTGATTCCGATATATGTAATGAGTGTGAATTGTCATCTGAAATTAATTTTAAGCAATGGATTTCTACTGATCGCTGCAATTTAATAACTGTAGTTAAGAATGTTGATGAATTTAAAGATGATTTGAAAATACAATTGACAACTTTAAAACCTCATCATTTTATTTCAAAAAAACAATCTGAGTATTTGAGAAACCTGAAAGAAAATTTAAAAGACAATTCAGAGTGTATAGCATTAGTTGATTTCTCAGAAAATTATGCATTCATGGTACAAGATGAAGTACAATCGTTTCATTGGACAAATAATCAAGCTACTCTACATCCCTTTGTAATTTATTTTAAAGAAGACGGTTTACTTAAGACAAAAACTTTATGTGTGATTAGTGATTATCTTACTCACAATACAGTATCGTTTTTTGCATTTCAAAAAATTTTTCTCGATTACATTAAAAACAGTTATCCGGAGTTTAAAAAAATTTATTACTTCAGTGATGGAGCAGCCGCACAATACAAAAATAAAAAAAATTTTATAAATATATGTCGTCATGAAGCGGATTTTGGATTAAAAGCAGAGTGGCATTTCTTTGCCACTTCTCATGGTAAAAGTCCATGCGATGGAGCAGGTGGTACGATCAAAAGGACCGTAAGAAGAGTAAGCTTGCAGCGAACTACCGATGACCATATTTTAACTCCAATCGCAATGCACGACTTTTGTTCTAATCAAATTTCTGGTATAAAATTTTTTTTTGTATCAAGCCAGGATGTAGAAGCTGCTGAGACATTTTTATCTGAAAGATTTATAAATATAAATACAATAAAAAATACGAGATCATATCATAGCTTTATACCAATTTCTCAAAATCAATTACAAGCGCGGAAGTATTCAGCTTCCGATAATTTTGATATTGTTAATATTGTAAAACCAATCCGTAAACGGTTGAATAAAAAATAATGTTCTAGTTGAAAAATTGTTTACAGTTATTGTCATTTTCGATAATAATTACTTCTAAAGACAATTTTACACCCCAAATATCCATAACTTTATTGAGACTAGAAAAATTTTTCATATTTATAGTTGTTTCTGATGGTAAGTAATTTTAATCCATTTGTAAAAACGTCCAGATTTTTGCTGTAAAAAAAACGGCTCGCACATGCACTAAAAATGAAAATAACAAAACAAGTGATGTAGTCGTTTAAAGTTGAAGGTAAGAACAATAGATTCTGTGAGTATCAGATTTTTATCGCGCAGTCAACACGCTCGTTTCGTAACTTGAAAATTGGAATTTTTTTTAATTTCAAAACTTCGAGCAAAGTTTTCTTCTATGAAGAGTGGGCAGCTCAAGTCAACTTGTGGCTGAATTTTGACTATGATATATATACTTAATTTCCGTGGAGCATGAGTTTTTAATTCTCAACAGTTAAGACGCTAGAGTTGATTGAAATTCACGAAAAATGACTAAAAAACACTCATTTTCAGCACGCTGCTTATATTTAAAGGACTCGTCCGAGCCAATTATCTTCATTTACCCTTAAACTACTATCTTTCCCACTGTGAATTCCATCTTGATCATGCAGATAGCTTCAAACAGAAAAATTTCACAGTAAAAGTTGATAAGCCTTAAAAATATCGATTTTTAAAAGTCTTTATTTAAATAGGCGAAAACAAGCGCTCGTAAAAATCAAACTCGTGTAAATTTTGTTCTTTGGGACCCTAAAGAAGAGTTTCTCAAAGTTACACCAAAATCTAAAATGAGACGGCAACAATTTTTTTTTTTTCAGGCGATTTCATATGGAATGACTCGTATATGTTTGCAACAAATATTTATGTGGATATATTTCTTTTTGCACTGATAAAAAGATAAATTTGATTTAAGGTTAAGAATCTTGAACCAAGTACATCATCATCTTCGAGAGTTTCATGGCATTCAGTGAAGTAAAAAATTCTTCTCAAGTGGAATTTACTTGGATTATGACATTTTCTGGATAGTGAAAGATAATCAAGCTTTTCAAAATGATGTTCTTGGTTCAAAATTTCTTCTTCTGTATCAAGTTATTAACTTACCCCTAATAATAAAAAATGTTACAATGTTTAATAATACTTTCAGAAATTAGTTCATGCGTTTCCAGAAAACCGAAGATTACCTCCGGAGTTACGGCAGAAGGTTGAAGAGTACTTGAATCTAGGATGTAGTAACAAAAAAATACGATATGAACTATCGTCTAAATATAACATCTTAGCTACATCCAAAGATATCTCCAACATCAGACAATCTTTACGACCTGAGAAAAGTAATGATTTACCAACATTTGTTAATTTGTTGAAAACAAAATACGGTAAGTGTTTTTGTCTTAAAAGTCCTGATAAAACAAAATAATTCTTCATGCTAATCACTCATAAAAACAAGTATTTAAAGTGATCTAATGGATTGAAAAGAATCCGTTAGGAATAAAAAGCTCAGCTTTGATATTAGGATTAAAGCTGGATTACACAGGTTATAATACGTTTTAATAATTGTGGAATATTTAATACCAGCCCTTATCCAGTATATTTTTTTATTCTGATGCTTGTTAGACAAGATTCAATTTTTATAATTATATTTTCATTTTACGATTTATCTTAAATAAAATAAGCATAATACTGAAATTAACTGACATCTAATTATTTTAGAATTTTTTTCCACAACGACAAAATAGAAAAAAAATATTTAAAAATTATTTTCATGAAACTTTCTCAATTTTCTTGCTAAGTTTTTTTTTTTCTTTTCAAACAAAACCATTAAGTATCTGCTATCTTGGAGATAATCGGTTATTTGGTTATTCATGGACATAAATTTTGTAAAATTTCAGTGTTACTTTTATTATCTTCAAGAATCTCAAATTATAATTAAAGGAGAAAAAGCAGATATTGGTTAAGTTTTGATATTTGTTTAAATACATGTTATTTTTTTGTATGAAAATCGCTGAAAAATCACTGAATGTTAACTTGAGTCCCTTCGATGACGTCGCATTATTGAAATTAACCATTGTGTTAAGTTGTACTACTGGCTGTTGAATCTAGTAGCCCATTGTAGCTTCAATATTCTTTTACATAAAGTCAATTTTTTCTTGTGAAGATGACCTCAATAAATTTGATTAGCACTTAAATGAATTTGATTAGCACTTAAAAAAAAAAAAATTAATTAAGTATTAAAACAATTAATGAAATTTATATTTTCTCGCTAAAGTACTTTTTATTTTAGGATGCAGTACTAAAATCAAAGTAACGGACGATGGAAATTTTCAAGCTTTATTCTTTACAAATACAGCTATGCAGAATTCAATGAAAAATTGGCCTGAAATGCTATTTATTGACGGTACCTACAAGCTTTTTAATTTAGGATTTACATTATATTTAATAATGATCCAGACTGGAAGCGGTAGAGGGGAAATTGTAGGTGCGGCAATTTTAGCATCTGAAACGTCGGACGTTATGAAGTGGGTCGCTGAAACATTTAAGGAATTTAATCGAGAAGCTTCCGCACAAACGAAAACAATAATGACGGATAAAGACTTGACTGAGAGGTCTGCTTTTGCGGAAAGTTTTCCCAATGCCAAATTTCTTCTTTGCTTATTCCACACTTTAAAAACGTTCGATAGACGAATTAAGAGTCTGAAGCTGAGTAAAGAAGAACGATCGAATGGTTTTCGACTTCTTCGTGATTTAGCCTATGCTAAATCACAAAAGTTTGGAAAATCCAAAAGTGCACGCCTCATAATCTCATTTTTTAGAATAAAATTGATTAAAATAAAATATAAAAAGCAAAATAATAAAAAACAGAAAACACTGCTATGGTTTAGTGGCGCCATAACTGCAAGGTGAGGAAAAAAAATACTATAATAAAATGTATAGATAGAAATACAAAAAAATCCACAGTCATATATTAGTTTTTTATAAATAATAATTTAACGACAGTGAATTGAACGCTCATATTAACAAAGAAATTCTGTCGTGTGTTACTTTAGATAATTAAAAAAAAATTATTCAGGTACGATCATTTTTTCGACCAATTTCCCTGCCACATACACCCATTCATACACGGACGTCCAAAAAAGATTATGTTTAATGTTATTATTTATTATGTTAAACAAAAAAATTGTTATTGAAATATATTTTATGTGCCTGAAAAATTATTTGACTTGACATAAGTGTACTCATTTTAACCTGTAAGTGCGATATAAATAACAAAAAATCAATTTCAGTTTCGAGAAAACTGCTTTTTTCGAAATGTCGAGAGTAGAGCACAACCTCAACGCTTCGCTTATGAGGCGTGCAAAAGACTTATGACATTATTTATGAAAAATTTGCAAGTAGTGTGCCAGAACCTTTGTTAGATTATTTTAATTGCAACTGGCATCCTATTCGCGATGAATGGGTTCAATATGCAATGGCTACCAGCAATTATGGAAATGACACAAACAACATAGTTGAGAGTACGAACAAAGGAATAAAATCAATATGCGATTACCACAGCACGCTGTGTGAATTTGCTAACAACTTCTTCAAATTATTAAGTACGTCTAAACAAGAAACTAATTTATTAATGGCAATTGATGCTATGAAAAAATTAAAAATTAGACATGAATTAGGTTCTTTCGTAAATGACTACGCTGATTTATTAGCTAAAACAGCTTTTGATAAGTTTAATGAAGAATTGAATAAATATGATAGTGTCACCATAACTAAATATTGCAACGAAACAAGAGCTTGTTATTTGGATGTAGATGGCTATCCAATAATGTCTTCCATTACTGAATGTCGCTGTCACTTCCGCAAAAGTTTCAAGCTTCCATGTGTCCATATTTTAGTTACGAGAAAATTTTTCAATGAAAATCAATTTTGTTCTGAATTATGTGACTCAAAATGGTTAAAAGCTACGAGTATAAATAAATTTAATCAAGAATTTCATGAAATTTTGTTAGCTGATACGATTTTTAACAACCAATCTACTAATACGACGATGACTACTGATGATTCTATTATTGCTACTGATATCATTGAAGAAGATGGTCTCAAAATAACATGTGAAGAAGAAAGAAAACAAATTTTACAGAAATATTTTGAAAAAATAATGGGAAATTCTTTAAAAGTCCCAGAGGAGGAGTTTAAACTAGTCCAGAATCAATTAGAAAAAATAGCGTCAAATGATAAACAAAACGGACATAACAATACTGATGAGAAAATTGTAATTTTGCCAGAAAAGAAAATATTGAGAGGACGACCTAAATCGGCTAGAAAAACCACTACTGGATTTTTTCCCCGTAAAAACAAATAAAGACATGTGCTATTGGGATTATTATTATTATTTTTATAAATATTTTTTCTGTATTTCCCTCCAGGGATAAACAATTTATTTTCAATTCATATTTAAATCTATCTTTAATGGCAAATTTAGATATGAATTGAAAATAAATTTTTCTGCCCTCCGGCCGGAAAATGGCAACTTTCTGGCCGCTGCGCTAAACAAAGTTGCCACATTCCGGCTACGTCGAGCAGAAAAATAGAATACACACCTTGGCCAGTAAAAAGTAAAGCCTCAGACCACATGTTTGTCAACCTCGGCTTCGCCTCGGCCAACATGTGGTCTGAGACTTTTCTTATTTTACCGGCCTAGGTATGTTATATACTAGTTTATCCCTGGAGGGAAATACAGGCTAACAATATTATGAAAAATTAGAGAAAAAATTGTTGTATTAGACTGGATAGCCAATAAACTGAAAATTTTCAATGACTTACGTCAGAAAAAATATTTTAAAAATATTATAAACCAGTCTTTAGAAAAAAAAAAAAAATTTAATTATTATTATTATTATCAATTAAAAAATTAATTAATTATTATTAGTGGAAGAATGAGTTTCTCAGTTTACTATATAAAAAAAACCCATAATAGTTTCACATAATAACATGGGAAAAAAATGAACGTCAACATTTCAACGTGTTTCATCTAAGTCTGAACATATTGCTATTTTCATCACTCATGAAGAATCTCCATCCGACATATGGATGTTATCAAGCTTAACAGTGACGTGAGACGGCGTAACTCTTCGCTACTATTATTCCTGCGATCTTGATCTCGTCGAAGAAAATACAGTCGGTATGATGCGACGTGCAGACCCGAGTCTCCATTATTATCTTGATGGAGTTGACCAAGGGACTGCGTGCAGTGGCCTTCCACCTCACTTTTACCCCGTGATTGATTTGTATGCACAGTGCGATCAGGTATGAGCTTCCGGCGAACAAAAATGATTTTATTACTTTCTTATGCTGTACTTGCTGTTGGAGAACAGTATCAGTCAGAAACTGACCTAGGTCATGCAGCCCCAAGCATAGAAATCACTCACAAGTTTCACGAGTCTGTGGGGCTCAATATTCAGTTGAATACAGATCGCGTTATCGCTGCGCGTTATCGCAAGTACAATCATGCGGGTTTATTGAGTGAGAGTGGCTTCGAGAACAATTAATTTTTTGTAATAGTCATTCAAGAAGTAGCGTCCAAGTGGAATGGTTCGCTAAAACTAGGAGTTGTAAAAAATCCAAACGGTAATTGGCTAACCTCGATGGATTTAGTTCCTGGAATGACTTCGATCCTCACAAATGCGTGGTATCTAACTAGGAACGAAGTCAGGTACACGGGTAATATACTCTGTTCTGATTACTGTCCTAGTCTCGATTGGTTGAAAGTTCGCAAAAAGTTGATGAACTGACCAACTTCAACGCCATACAGACAACGTAATCGCGAGGTAATCCGTTGGAAAACACAACAGCAAACATAGCTGCTCCATCAACCGCATCACTTGATAATATTGCACATTCCAATAATAATTTACCGAGCAAGTCGATGACCAGCAGCTGTAACTCAAACAGCAATAATTCAACAAGTGAATTGTAAATAATGAACGAACCACCACTTGCTGCTGCTACTACCACTACTACTAGTTTTGTTTTAAATTAAAAAATAATAATATTAATAATCATCCATATGATACGTATGATAATAACACAATGTCTAACAAAGATTTCGATAATGATATAATCATAATCATGATGAACAAGTTACAAATGGCATGATGATGATGAACTACTACGTCTAGCAATATATCAAGTTTAAACACTGCTATTAATTCAATAAATGCCAACAATGCAATCAATTAAAGTATTACGTCTAACCGCCAATTAAATAATATTCCTGGTTTTCATCAAAACTCAAGCAATCTAAACGCTAACATCAATGGGAATCTTAATAATATTAATCAGGATAACAATTCTCAGTGCAATCTCATGAGTAATTTAGCTGTTACGTCTTTCAATAGATCTATTGCTTTGTAGTCTCGAGATTCTCAATCGATTAATCGACAGCATCATCACCAGAGTAGTAAATAAAATTCCAGTTGTGCCATACTCCCTTACCAAAATTAATTATAAAGTCATAATTCCCAACAACCTACATTAAGTTCTACACGGACATCGTCTTCATTAACATCGTTTTCTAATAAATAAATAAATAAATAAATAAATAAATTAACAACGCCGTTGAACTCGACAACATCACCCTCTAAAAAATGTGAATATCTGAAAGCTTGTAAAAAATTGAAGAAATCACTTATGCTGCCAAATGAATGTTTCTTACTTGATGAAATTACTTGCTGCTGCAATTCGTTTTACGAAGTCGACAGCGATGGAGCTATTTGTTAAAAAGGAGATCCTCCAGCAGAGATTGCTGCCCCCATAGGGTGGGTTAGATTTCCTCTTAGGGATAGAAGCAGACTATCAATGCTAATCAAATTCCTCAGAGTACTACTGATAAGTGGTATGTTGCTTACTATGGAACATGTTTGGACCAAATTAGGTGATAATTATATTATATTATTTTTCTTACTTCTTAATTTATCACTTATTTTATTATAATTACGTATTTTTTTTTTTTTTTTTTATTATTTAAGATGGATTCTCGATCGCAGGGAATTATTACCCATGGAACAATTGGACTTCAGTAATTTAACAACAATTATCGATAGTGAAGAACAAAATCCACAATTCTCGTCAAATATCAAATATGTGGCTTCTGAAGGCATCAAAAAATATTCATAAGCTTGAATTTTGTTTTTTTACGATCATAAGGATTTTTATAATTAAAAATGTTTTATTCTAATTTGAATATTTTATTTTAAATACATTAACACTCAATTAAATAAAAAATTAAATTATTCAATGGCGTTTCAATTACTGGTGAGATCTGGATCTTACACGATGAATTTAGATAAGCAGCACGGAGCAGACGGAGTTGAACCTATGAAATGGGCTACTAAGTAAGCTGGTGCCACAGTTAATCATAGCTTTTCTTATTAATCTTGATGAATTTTAATCTATAATAACTATCTAACTTATTAAGAAGTTGATCTCAATTAAAAATCTCTTGATCTTATTTAATTATCGCTGGTAAAGTTAATCATCGACACGATTATAATTGTCACTATATTTTTACCCGGCAATGACTATGCAAAAATCTAATAATTAACAACAAAAATATTAGCTTCATTTGGTTTCATAACAGGCAAATATATACGTGTAGTTGCTTATGAACATACACATTAGGGTGCGTCAAAATTTAATCTCTAAAAGCGACCTTTAAAAATCGAAATTTTAAGTTCTGCTTTTAGCAGGAGTTAGGTTTAAACATTTTCTGAGATATTTTGATGTTTCAGGATCTATTTGATACTCACATAATTGTTTAACAAGATTTTTGTTGAAACAATTTTTCTGGAATTTAAAAATTTGAAAATTTGACCAAACGAAATTCCTGTTAAAAAATTCTGTGAATATCAAATAAATTGTGACACACCTAAATATATCAGGAAATGCCCCAATACAGCTTCTGTTAAAAGCGAAACTCAAAATTTCAATTTTAAAAGGTTGCTTTCGAAGATTAAATTTTAACACACCCTAATACACATACACTCAATTGTAAAGTTAATGTGGATAAAAATGCGGTGGCACTGCTACTTACGATTAAATATAATTAGTTTTTAATTTAATGAAAATATAAAATTTTGTCAGTTAATAGATGGTATATTTAATAAATTATTTTTATTATTTATTACAATTACTATCTTTAAAATGGTGACAAGACACTGTGCCATGAGTTCTTATTTCCTCCACAAAATCTGATTATTTTATGTAAAGAAATCATTTTTTTATTATTAAATTATTAAATAACAAGTACTGCGTGAGTACGAACAATAAGTTAACCAGTATGGTAAATAAAGTCGAATGAAATTATGCAACCATGGCTATTAATAAGTATGGGATTTAAATAACAATTCTAACTACCTCTTATTGTAAAAGCATTTGCTAACCGTAGAGTGGATTAGTGGTCCCAAAATTTAAATGATTGCTGCTATTATTACTGGTAAAATTGTACTGAAATTTGAAAAGTTAACTTAAGACAAACTTGGTTGCGTTTCATAAATTTATTTTTGGTATTATAATTGTATTATTTGGTATTATAAATGATTATTGAAGAAACAAAACGTTCATGACAGGCCGTGTTCTATGCAGCATGTAATCTAATCTGACAAAAGTATCGCCTACGTAGTCGCTTTTTCGAAAACTTTATGCACTCAAGTCTGTATTGCTCAAACTAACACCATTAATACTTTGGAACGCAACGCATTCTAAGCTTTTGTAGATGTACTTGAAGCTATCTCACTGATGTTGGTTAACATTACTGGTCTGACAAGTGTTAACACTCTCTTTTGAGTCAAAATTTTTCATTGGGTACAGATAAAACTCGACTCTTGGTATAGACTGCATGGATTTCATTATTTTCCATATAATATCGCAGAATGTAATCTAATCACTAAAAAACAAAACTCAACAAATCTTATTGGCGATTTAGTGAGTGAAAATAATACGAAAATAGATAATGTGTTTTATCAAACCAATCTTAAATAATAATTATTATCTTTGATTAAAACTATCTTTAATAATAATTTTAATTGTTCTAATTAAAAATTTTTGGATCAATAATAGATATTGATGCTTTAGACGCTAAAAAATACAAAAATCTTGCTTAGATTAAAAATATAGATAAATTTTTTCGAAACTATAAACTAGGGTGTGCCAAAATGTAACTTCCTTGATGAACCTCTTAAAATTGAAATTTTGAGTTCCCCTTTTTAAAAGCAGCTCTGTTTAGGTCTTTCCTAAGATATTTTGGGGTGAGACGATAAATTTGATTTTCATAGAATTTTTTAACTGGAGCATAGTTTGGGCACTTCCGCTGAAAATTCAAATTTTGGCCGGAAGTGCCCAATTAAACCTCCTGCTAGAAATTCTATGAAAATCAAATCTATCGTCTTACCCCAAAATATCTTAGGAAAGGCCTAAACACAGCTGATTTCAAAAGAGAAACTGAAAATTCCAATTTTAAAAGGTCCATCAAGGAAGTTACATTTTGGCACACTCTACTATAAACTAACAACAAATTTTAGTTTGCCAAATTGACACAAGAAGGGCAAATCCAATTTTCTTTAGCCTTAGGCTTGCGAATTTTTGCACAATCCATGTTTAAATGGTGCCAATACCAACATGCGTCGCATTCAATACTCTTTTGAGACTCTGTAATATACTTTTGACATGTTCTACAGATCCAAGATTTTTGGTCATTATTTTTTTCATCAATTTTTTTTTTAAATCATTTTATATGCGGTGACCTCAAAATAGCTTTTGATATTTTTTATTTTCAAAAAGCCACCAGGTACTGGATCTGCTACAGGATTAATTTTATCCTTTATATCTTCAAGCGTAATTAATTCATTTTTATTGATTATCGCTTGAATTCTTGATTGATTGGATATGAGATGTCGTAAAAGATTTGGTAGATGAGTCATATTATCATTTGCTCTTCTACTTTTTTTTGGCAAAATTAAATGCTCTGCGCCAACAGCTGGTCGCTTTACTCCCTTCGGCCTTCCACGGGATGCTGTTTTTGTGACAATTATTTGAGGCTCATCTGATGACTGCTGACCGTTAGCCGGTGGATTGTCACCAGCTGATGGCTGACCATCAGCTGGTGGATCGGCCTGAACTGTAGATGATGATAGATCAACACCAGCTGATGGCTGCCCATCAGTTGATGGATCGGTCTGAACTGTAGATGATGATAGATCAACACCAGCTGATGGCTGCCCATCAGTTGATGGATCGGTCTGAACTGTAGATGATGATAGATCATCACCAGCTGATGGCTGCCCATCAGCTGATGGATCGGTCTGAACTGTAGATGATGATAGATCATCACCAGCTGATGGCTGCCCATCAGTTAATGGATCGGTCTGAACTGTAGATGATGATAGATCATCACCAGCTGATGGCTGCCCATCAGCTGATGGATCGGTCTGAACTGTAGATGATGATGATAGATCATCACCAGCTGATGGCTGCCCATCAGCCGATGGATCGGTCTGAACTGTAGATGATGATAGATCATCACCAGCTGATGGCTGCACATCAGCTGGTGAATTGTTGTGAGGACCAAATGGTGGAAACTCTTTTTTACTTTGGTCTATAAATAAAAATTTTTTCAATAGACCTCTCAGCAAATCCATTTTTACTGAAGCGGTGTCATTGTCTTGATTGAGATTGCGTTTAATTTCTTTAAGAATATTATCGCTATTCCATTCATGGATGAGCTCTATCGGCGATGAGCTCTCCATCATCTTTTACTATGAAATTTCCAACAATCTTTAAATCATGATATAATTTTTCTTTTACTGGCCCTACTGGATTTTTGATTACTCTGTCGTGATTTACCGTTTCCAAATACTCATCCTCGGAAACGACTGTTTCCTCAGTATTAACTGTTTCCTCAGAATCGACTGTTTCCTCAGTATCGATTGATTCCTGAGTATCATCCTGTAGAAAATAATAATAGATAATTATTGTTAATAAACAACATTAATTAAACTATACATATATATTTAAAAGTGACAAAAATATACCTCATGTACTTCATGATTGTGAGTTGAGATCCACTTCGTTATGCGATACGTATTTCTGGTTATATTACCTACAGCGCAAAGCTTCACCGGACATTTCATTCTCTTTGACCTATATTATCAAAAATATAGTTAGAATAAAAATCAACTTAAAAAAATGTTTAATAAAATAATTTATGATTTGATGATACCGATATCATTCATTTCTATTAATATAAATAATTAAATAATATTATAATATACTCACGTGACATCACGGTGTTTTGCACCTTCTCTTTTTTTAGGAATGTAAAATCCAGATCGCGGGCATTCCAAATATTTATAGTAATAATGTAAAGTCGGGAGAATGTCGGGTTTCTTTTTGCTATTTTTAAGTGTGTCTCCATTGTACGGCTATCACCTGAAGATAAGCAATGCTTAGTCTGTTCTTCATATTTTTCAACCAACTCCTGTATTTCCTCATAGCTCCCGAATTCTTGCCCTTCCCAAAATAGGTTCGCCATTCTTATCGGTTAGTAAAAAATAATACTAGATACTTAATTTGAATATTATATTTAATGTTATTTAATATATCGATTGGTACTTAATTATAAATATTTACTATGATTTATATTTTGGACTCAATTGAATCTCATACGACGAATAGACAACGACGACGCTACCCTTATCGAATAACTCGATAACAAAGAATAAAAAAACGTAATTGTTTAATATTACTATTATTTTAGATCTCAGATATAAATCCGTAAATATATCGAAACGTTTGCAGCAAAGCGCCATAAATCAATGAGAATACCAACTTTATAGAACTAATAGTGACTACAGGAAATTAATTTATCAACTACAGTCAATGGCCACAATAGCATAGGTGTCTCTACCCTCAATATCCTTTATGATATAAATACGAAAAAAGAACGTTTAGATTAATTGCGATCCATTGAAATTAATCCCTAAGTATAACAACCTGATAAAAAATGAATGAATCATGTATAATCATCTACATATGATTAAATCCAACAATTGGCCAGGTCTAATTATATATAATCATATAAATATATATAACAATATTTAATTATATTATTACTTTTATTTAATTATTTGTTTAATTTTATTGATACACGACTTGACATCGTCATACGCGATTCTCTATAATCAATGAAAATACAATAAAAAAGTGTCAACATATTACGTTTTAAATCAGTTTACCATAAGTATAATATAAAAATTGATTTTATAATATATTTTGATAATCATAATTTATTTATTTTACACAGAAAAAAAAAATTTCTTGACTGGAGAACAAAATTCTTGGTTCAAGAAAATTTTCGGGTGCTCGAAGGAAAATCGAAGTTGTGTTGGCCGTAGACATATATATATATATATGTGTATATATATATATATATATATGTAAAATCTGATGAAAATTTTTTTCTTTGACGAAAAAACTACTTTGGTCATCACAAAATGTGCAAAATTATTTTTATCATTACGCTTATATAATTTTAGAATAAAAAATTTGTTATGTTTGAAATGTTTTGGTCTGCTCTGCTCCTGCCTAATATTAAAACTATTACTTATTTTATTTTTTAAATAAATATGATATTATAATGAGATTCGGTTAAATAAATAAATTAGGATTATCAAAATACATTATAAAATCAATTTTTATCTTATAATTATGATTATAATTATAATTATGATAAACTTATTCGATACGTTATGTACTTCATAAAATTATTATCGCATAAGATAGCAGCATAGCAGGCGGGAACTTCAAGGCGCACGGATATCACCAAAGTTAAGCGGCATTGAGCGTGATCAGTAGTTGGATGGGTGACTGCAGGTATTACAGCCGTATAATTATATGTAATCATTTTTTTTTTTATTTTAATTCATTATAGAGAATTGCGTATGACTCTATCAAATACTGTATCCATAAAATTAAGCAAAATAATTGATTTAAAAAAAAAAAAAAAAAAAACAGTCTCATTACGGCCGCCAAGCGGAACAGACGTGTTGTGACCGCTCCGTTCCACGTGTTTGACTATAGTGTGTTCTTTAGTTTAAAGTGTGTTATCAACTAATTTGAATTACGTGTATCTGTCTACTAGTGGATTTGTATTCTCCCCTAGTTGGCCTAGCCTTTCATTAGGCAATTCTCTCTCTGTATCAGAGATCTAATCCTTTTACCACTGTACCAAACCATCAAAATGAGCTACACTATAGGGCTCTACAAACAGAAGTCATCCCAACCAAGGAACAAGCAATCATTCTAGATGCTATTGACGGAATCCCCATCCAGAACTACGCAACAGCTATTGGAGCATTAACCGGGCCCTCAAACATTAGATATATATCACGAATTGCCAACAATAGAGTGTGTATCTATGTCTCCTCCAAACTAATCGCTGACTCCCTTGTCGATGTGCATAAGCAAGTTGTGATTAATGACAAAAGAATTTTAGTCCGTCCGCTTATCACTCGAAACAAGAGGCTTATCCTATCAAACGTTCCACCAATAATTCCTACTGACATCATCATTAATAAGCTAAAGGAATCTGGCATAACTCCAATGTCCAACGTAACGACCTTGAGAGCCGGGCTAAACAGTCCTGGCTACCAACACATTCTCAGTTTCAGACGTCAACTGTATATTGGACCTGAGGACATCAAAAAAATCCCAAGCTCGTGAAAAATTGAGTATGACGACACTTCATATTGGATTTACCCAACACTAGACAACATGATGTGTTTCACCTGCAAGGAAGAAGGTCATCTCGCCAAATCGTGTCAGACTAATGCCCCTAATAACGATCCCCAATTCACAAGCAATACCGCTGATACCAACAACCAAGAAAGAACAAATCATCCTCAACATGTAAACACTACCGAAACAACTAGTCTACAGCCACTGGAGCACCAAACAAAATTCAACATGACGCCGAAGCGTCAGCTGTCGTCCTCTTCAGACCAGTCCTCAATGCCTCCCCCCAATAGTCCCAAAATAGATATTAAAACGCCACCCTATAAAACTCCAGAAACACCAGCACCAAAAAAAATTAAAATCAAGGACCCACAGCATCAGAAACCACTCCAACTAAATCCATACCTTCAATCTGTGGATACTATTATGGCACAAAACCCTAATGAGTATCCAATTACATATGAACAATTAGAAAACTTCTTAAATAATTATCTGATTAATAGAGATCTGGGAACAGTACTAAATGAAAGCAAACTGCAAGCAATGGATCTATCAGTCACCCTCAAAGCTATATACCTCTCTCTGAAAACTAAAGCACAAAAACAGCGTTTCTCAAGACTCATGAACAAATCGGAAAATAGAATTCTAGATGACACGGGATCAATTACATCAGTTTCATCCCAAGGAAGCTTGATGGATCTCGAAAACTAAAATCTCAACAAACCAACCTCAAACATACTTAAACTACCAATCCCTAAAAACCTTTTAATCCACAACCATGCGCTGCTTACAATGGAACATAAATGGCTTCTACTCTAAACTTGAATATCTACAACTAATCAACAAAACGTCATATGATTGCATTTGCCTCCAGGAAACAAATTTTAAAGGAAACCAATGCGCTAAAATTACAGGATATCAGTCCTATTACAAAAATAGGTCCAACCCTGGACGCGCTAGCGGAGGGACAGCTATCTTCGTTAAGAACAACTTGATGGCGTAGGAACTAGCACTAGTGACAGATCTTGAAGCAACTGCAGTATACATAAACTCACTCTATCCCATAACAATATGTGACATATATCTCCCAAACGCCACCAACTTCACCAAAAATAACCTGGAACAAATAATCACGCAGCTTCCTCCTCCATTTATCATTGTTGGCGACTTTAACAGCCATAACATCATGTGGGGATCTAATCATACTGACAATAGAGGTAAAATAATCGAGGACCTTCTTGAATCAATCGAAAGCATAGTCCTACTCAATGATGGTTCCGGCACCCACTTTAATTGTAACACTGGTGATCACAGCTCCATCGACCTCTCTATCGCAACACATGACATAGCAACTAGTTTAGAGTGGATGGTTCTTGAAGACCTCAATAGCAGCGACCAACACCCAATAACAATAAACGATACCAGATATACAAATGAAATGAATTACCCTGAGAACCCACCCAGATGGTGTTTTAAAAATGCGGACTGGGACAAATACCAACAGCGAATTGAGCAGAACATCTATCAATTGCCTATACTCCCTGATATCCATCATCTAACGATACAAGAAATACTAGACAATTACACATCCCTAATCATAAACGCAGCCAATGGCTCTATACCCAAAACTTCCTGCTTTAATAAAAAACGAAAACTAGTTCCTTGGTGGAATAATGACTGTCAAAATGCAATAAAAGAACATAAAAAAGCCTACCCTGAATAAAAAAAAGTATTGAGACAAAGAAAAAAGTATTGAAAAGTATTGGTTTTCTAGTCAATCCAATACTTTTCAATACTTTTTTCTTTGTCTCAATACTTTTTTTTTTTTATCAGGGTACAGAAAATACAACAAAAATAATTCTGAAGAAAACAAAATAAAATTTAAACGTTCACGAGCGATTGCGAGAAGAACTATTAAAGAAAGAAAACGTAACAGTCGGTAAAACTTTACATCGACACTTACTCACACTACTCCAATGACACTAATTTGAAACAAACTGAGACGAATATCAGGCAACTCCACAATCAGTCCAATCCCCTCATTGCCACCAGTAGATGACTCCTCAACACCCAAAATCCAAATCATCGCTGATTACCTGGTTGACACATTTGCTTCCAACTCCTCCGACACAAATTACTCTGCAGCCTTCCTAAGTTATAAACATTCAACTAAAGTACAAACCATCACCCCAGATTATAATCTATACCCAATCAATAATCCCTTCACTATCACAGAGCTACATCACGCTATCAACAGCTGCAAAAATTCCAGCCCCGGTCCGGATGGTATACCAAATAGCCTAATAAAAAAGTTACCAGGGATAGGAAAAAAATATCTCTTAGATATTTTTAATCAAATATGGAACAACCAAGTATTTCCGGATCCATGGAGAGAAGCCACCGTAATACCTGTCCCTAAACCCAACAAGGACCATTCTAGCCCAGCTAACTACCGACCCATCTCACTAACGTGCAACTTATGTAACATACTAGAGAAAATGGTTTGCAAAAGACTAAGATGGAAGCTAGAAAAAGAAAAGCTCATAGCCCCAACTCAATATGGATCCCGTAATATGAGATCCACCACTGATTTCCTAGTGAGCCTCGAAGCTGAAATTTGTGACGCATTTGCCTTGAAAGAGCATCTATTACTACTATCACTAGACGTTGAAAAAGCCTATGAGATGGCATGGATTGAAAGAGTTATTACAACCCTAAAAGAAAAACTAGGACTCAACCGTAGTGTTATAGCATACATCTACAACTTCTTGAGCAAACGAACCATGCGAGTCAGACTGCGAAACGTCCTTTCTAAAAAAGTTGAGCTACAAAATGGCCTCCCACAAGGGTCAGTCCTCAGTGTACTTATGTTCCTGGTAGCAATTAATGAAGCCCTCGAAATAATGAACGAATTTACGCACATAAAGGGAAAACTGTTTGTAGATAACTACTCACTGTCCCTGCGAGGCTCCAACATCGACATCACAATTAACATGATGCAAAGAGCTATCAATAAACTACTTCTTTGGTCTGAGAAAAGCGGTTTCAAATGCTCCATGACTAAATCACAGTTTATGCTCTTCAGCAAGGGCCACAGTATCAATCACCATACCCTCAAATTGTATGATCAACCAATTAAAAAAGTCAACCAGATGAAGATACTTGGACTAACTTTTGATAACAAACTGACATGGGTCCCCCACATAAAAATCTTAAAAGGTGAATGCCAATCTAGATTACGTATAATTAGAATTCTCTCCTCCAGGCAATGGGGCGCTGACTCCAGCATACTATTAGCAATTTACACAGCTCTCATTAGATCCAAATTGGACTATGCATCAGCTATAATCTATGACTCTGCAAGTAAAACAACTCTGAGAACATTGGACCTAATCCAAAACATGGCCATTCGTACAGTCACTGGAGCTCTCAAAACCAGTCCAGCGTCAAGCCTACAAGCTGAATCAGACATTCCACCACTGCACATAAGAAGAATGGAGCTCTGCCTAAAATACCTTGCAACTATACCCGCTACCCCAAACAATCCAGCATACCAGCAAACCACTAAAGACTTCCTAACAGAGATCTTCAGGCATAACCCACGATTTCCCAAGCCACTGCGAATGAGGATACAACATTACACGGAAGCGTTAGACATCAACTTCCCACCTATTGCACTAAGAAACCTAGGACATTCTCCCCCATGGCAAGAATTTATCACCAACATGGATCTAAGTATGTGCGAGCACAACAAACCTACCACTCTACCCTCAACATTTAGAACTCTTTTTCTTGCTATCCAAGAAAAATACAATAATTATGATGAGTATTATACTGATGGCTCGGTCACTGCCAATCACTCTGGATTCACTGTCGTTACCAATACAAACACTGTTAATTCAAGCCGCATGCATAACATGTGTTCAATATGGATGTGTGAAGTAACTGCTATAATCTATGCGTTGAAATCCATTATTAAAAAACACGAAAAATCCAACAGTGAAATCTATTCAGACTCCTTATCAGCTCTCCTCGCAATAAAGAATAAATTCAATATACATCCACTGATACAACACATACACAAACTACTTGAAGAAATAGCAGCACTTGACATCAACATCTCCTTCGTATGGATCCCAGCACACCAGGGTATTGTGGGAAACGAGTTAGCTGATAAAGCGGCGAAAGAAACTATAACCCAGGAAATTGCTCCAAATCTCATTACAGCATACCTTGATGTTAAAAAACTGATCAAAACAAAGATCAAATCTCAATAGAACCATCAATGGGTCAACTCAAGAAGAACCAAACTTCATGAAATAAGAGAAACTGTTTACGATACGACACCAACGCTAAATAGATACAACCAGACTATATCATCACAAGACTACGAATAGGCCACACCAATCTCACGCATGTCCACCTAATCACTAAAAGCGAACCGGAAGTCTGCCCAAAATGTCAAGAAACAGTAACCATCAAACACCTCCTAAACGAGTGCAATAACCTCAGGCTAGAAAGAAGCGAAGTCAGCCTCTCGAACAACATAAAAATCCTACTTAATGACCAGGAACAGTGCATCAAAACAATTTCATTCCTAAAAAACATTAAACTATTAAACAAGATATAAATTATGTTATAAGATATTAAAAATTGTAAATAGAAGTCGTTAATGACCTAGCTGTTAATAAACGACTTAAAATAAAATAAATAAAAAAAAAAATAATTAATTAAAAGTAACAACGGGCTTTCAGACCTGACCATGTCTGATCAGACCTGATCAGGTCGATTCATGCCAAATCAGGCATGGTCATTTTTCATGCCTGAAGACTCATGCCTGTTCTTGTCTGATCAGGTCTGATCATTTTTTCCCGGGTATCTCATGGTCTTCAAAAAAAAATTTTTTTTTTATTTATAAGTAAAATAAGTACCTAATTGTTTGATAAACAGTTAAAAAGAATATAAAATTTTCGGAAGGTAAAAAAAATTTCAAGTGGTCTTTCCATTTGAATTTAGAAAAATAATTGAGATTGAAACCGAGTGTGAGTAAAATTCTCATAACGACAGTACTAAAGAGTTAAGGAAACATTTTTATGTAGTCGTTGTTTAATATTTTTTCTCTCAAATCAAATTCACTTTACGTTATCAATGAAACTTCCTATCAATACCATAAAAATATTTTATCTGATAAGAAGAGCTGTTATTGGAAAAACATAAATTTTTTAATCTAATATACAGCCGTTATTAAATGTATTAAGTATGATTAAATTTCATTAAATGTAAGCGGAATTAATTGTAACTAATAAAATTTCAGTTTTAATAGATTCTGAGGTATGAAACTTATTACAATGAACAAAGAAGTTATTGCAATACAGGACATATCTTTTAATTTAGTTATTAATTTTTCAGATTTTTAATTTTTGTAGTCCTGGAAGTCTGTAGTTAGGAGATCCGGACTCAAAAGTACAGTACGCTTAATAGCTCTGCTAGTCCGGGTCTGTTAGCCACGGATGTCCGTGGACAACGGACCCGGACGTCCGTGGCTGGAAGACCCGGACTTAAGAGTACTGTGCACCTAGTAGCTCTGCTAGTCCGGGTGTGTTAGCCACGGATGTCCGTGGACAACGGACCCGGACGTCCGTGGCTGGAAGACCCGGACTCAAGAGTACTGTGCACCTAGTAGCTCTGCTAGTCCGGGTGTGTTAGCCACGGATGTCCGTGGACAACGGACCCGGACGTCCGTGGCTGGAAGACCCGTACTCAAGAGTACTGTACGCTTAGTAGCTCTGCTAGTCCGTGGATAACAGATCCGGATTAAACTCTATATTCTCAAGATATTATAATTGAAAGTTACATAATTAATCAAATTTGTAATTATTCTTCATTTGAAATTATCCCTCCAAATTATAATAATTTGGGTAGTTTTCACTAAAAAGAAACTCGCAGTACTGTCATCTGTGGAACATCATGGAGATTCTGTCTGTAAGCGTGACATCTGTTCGCATGCGTTCAATGTACATATACATGCAATAAATACAAATTATAAATATAATATTTAAAATAAAGTTTTAAATTTTTTTAATTAATTCAGCTAAAATTCATAATAAGAATTTTAAATCTTCAAAAAAGCCACTTTCTGACTTTAATCTTAGAGTCCCGGACAGACGTATTATTTTTTTAAAGTTGGCCGGGTCTCTAATTACAGCCACGGACCTGTCCGTGGATGGTGGCACTAGACACTCCGTTTTTTGCGCCACCCTAATGTTTATTCAGAGCACGTGTAGGGTGTAAAAGCAGAACCTACGGACGCGAACAACTCTACCCTCCGTGTGTGTGTGTGTGTTGTTTTTTTTTTTTGTAAAGAGGTACGAAAAAAGATCTTCAAAAGACACCGCTATCGTTAACTCTGCCGCCCATCTTACGGCAGATATCGATAGTCGGTAGTGTGGAGATTTTTACCCACTAAAAAAAACATTCCTCTTCCCCTCTCCCCTAGATGGTACGGGGAGGACTGGATTGGAACCGCGTTAGCATTACTTCAATCCAGTCGTGCTGCGTCCCACGACTCCTACTCCTGGCTACTGGTCCCTTTCGGCGATTTTGCCTTTCAGGAGGTGCTATGCATAAGCTGCAACAGCTGACCAGTTTTCCTCTTGTTTGATCATATATGTCACCAGGCTTGAGGGGGAGAGCCTGGTGCCTATGATCTCTTCGGTGCTTCTTCTGTAGTCCTTCCATCGAGCACACTCGAAGAATGTGTGTTCGGCGTCGTCGATTTTATCCGGGCAGTATTTGCATGTTTGTGTGTTGTGTAAACCCATCTTGAAGAGATAGGCGTTGAACTGCCCATGCCCTGTCAGTAGTTGGGTCAGGAAGAAATCCGTCTCCCCGTGTTTCCGAGAGAGCCAGGCGTTGATGTTTGGGATCAGTCGCGCTGTCCATCTGCCTGTCTCTCCCGACGTCCATCGGTCTTGCCACTCTTGCTGCGTTTTCGTTTTTATCCTCGTTCTTACCTCCTTCATGTTTTCGCCGCCGATTTTAGCGTCGTAGAGTTTTGCTATTTCGAACGCTAATAGGTCGATGGGCGCGACTCCCGCAATGACCAATACAGCCGCTTCTGAAACTGTGCGGTAGGCGCAGGCAACCCTGAGAGCGCCTCGCCGCTGTACTGCTGCTATCTTTCGCCGGTAGGTCTTCTGCTTTAATATGTCTGCCCATATCTCTGCTCCATAAAGCAGTACCGAGTGGACTGCTTCTAGAAGAACTCTTCTCTTTTTTTGTTCTTGGTCCCATGGTGTTGGTCATAATTCGTGCTAGGCTAGACACAGTCTTGCTGACTTTCTTGCATGCACTGTCGAGGTGTTCACGGAAAGATAGTTTCTCGTCTATCATTAACCCTAGATAGCGCAGGGCCCTTGTTGACGTGAGTGTTGTTCCTCCCAAGTCCACAGCGAATGGTTTTGGGAACCAGTTATGACGTGTCAAAACGATCATCTCGGTTTTCTGTTTGGCGAGTTTCAGGTGATGCTTATCAAGCCAAGTCTCGACGGTGTCGATGGTTTCCCGAACTAGCAGTTCGGCCTCTTCTATGCTGTCCACCACTATAGTGGCTGCAACGTCGTCTGCAAAGCCTGTTAGCTCTACTTGCTCTGGCAACGGGATTTCAAGAAGCTCGTCATAGTCTGCGTTCCATAAATCAGGCCCCATTATCGAGCCTTGCGGCACGCCAGCCGTTATGGCGTATTCTTGTGGGCCTTCAGTAGTTTCCACTATTAGCTTTCTATCGTCAAGATAGTTGTCGACTAGTGCCAGATTTTCTGGCTCCATGTCAAACTTGTGCTCCAGAGCGTCTAAAATGTCTCCCCAATTTGCGCTGTTAAATGCGTTTTTGACATCTAGCGTTTTTGAGGAGAAGACATACTTTTCGAGCTTTGAGGCTACCAGACCATGCTTGTGTTGCTGTCTTTATGACTTTCTTGATCGCTCCGACTGTCGAATGACCTTTCCGGAAGCCATGCTGGTTGGTGGAAAAACCTCCAGCCCGGTCGATGTCGTCGCGAAGTCTCCCTTGTATGAGCTTCTCGAGCAGTTTTCCAGCAATGTCTAGCATACAGAGTGGTCTAAACGACGAAGGTGTTATGGGCGCTCCCTTACCTTTGTCTAAGAGAACCAATCTCTGCCGTTTCCAGACCGCGGGAAACGTGCCAGTTGCCAAGCATGCGTTGTAGGTGTTCAGGAGTATGTCTGGGTATTCCAGGGCTACAATCTTGATCACCGATGCCGGGATGCTATCAGGTCCAGGTGCCTTTCCTGTTTTCAGTGACTTGGCCGCGTCTTGTAGTTCCGTTATTGTGAAGGGCGTTACTTCGTTGTTTTTAGTGTAGTGTTTCTTCTCCCGCGGCGGGTGTTTGGGGAAAAGCTCCACTACGATGCTATCCATTAAGGCTGGAGACTTCGGCGCCTCTGGTGAAGCCTTTCCAAGTCGTTTGGCGACAATTTGGTAGGCTTTACCCCAGATGTCATTGTCGAGATCGTTGCAGATCTCTTTCCACAACCCTGCTTTACTTGCTTTGATGGCTCGGTTTAGCGTCTTTTTGGCCTGCTTGTACTCTTTTGAATACAAGTCCTGAATTGGGGAGCATTTTGCGGCTCTCGTTGCGCGGCGACGTAGTTGATGGCATATTTTGCGGAGTTCTGCTATGTCTGTTGACCACCAATACGCCGGCCTGTGAAAACTCCGGTTTTTCAACCGCGGCATAGAGGCGTCACATGCGGTGGAAATCTCCTTCATCGTATTTAGCACTGTCCTTTCTGTCTCGCTGCAAGTATCCGGAGTCGGGTTGTGCCGAAGGATAGACCAGCTCCGTGCAAGTGAAGCTCGCAGTGCCTCTGGATCAAGCTTCCTGACATTCCACTTTCGCTTAGAAAGGTCGTGTTGTGATACCGGAGCAGATGCCAATCCAACGTTAAATGTCACAAACTGGTGATCACTGCCACTGTATTTTTCGGATACTGTCCAGTTTTCAATCATGTTGGCAATTCTTGGAGTCGCCAACGAAATGTCGAGGATGGACTCTTGGTACCTCGGTCTTTTGAAAGTCGTGGTGCTCCTAGTATTTAGCACTATGAGGTCGAGTCTAGCTACGACTTATGCGTGTGTATGTGTGTGTTTTTTTTCCCATTAGGTGTGTGTGTGTGCGTGCG